AAAAAAAGAATGAGTATAAGAAGCTGAAGAAAAAATTCAGCAAATGGTTTCTTTTCTTGAGGTCCCATACAACATTTTCCAATATCCGAAATCTTCAAAAGCGCATATAAAATGAGAAGAATCTACTATAAAGAATCTGTTTAAAACTTTTCTTTTCGTTCCGCATTTTTTTCATCCTTTTCTAACTTTTCTAAACCACAATCTACAAACATAAGCTTGTTGCAAGTTTTTGTTTTTCAAAAAACAAAGATAACAAAACAAATTGTTATCGATAGGCCGCAATGGAATTGAAACTAAAAAGTGAGACACAAATGGTTTCAATGAATTTTCAAAACTGAATGAAGCAAAAGAAAGAGAATGTCCAGCAAAAAAGAAAGAATAAAAAAAGTAACCAAACAAGACAAAAATTAGTCTAATTAACAAAGTAAACGTCGGGCATTGAAAAGTGAACAAAGTACAACGAGAAAAAATGACATCTAAAAATTAGCAGTCAACAAATAGCACAAATTTTGATCCAATATTTTACCAGAAGAGGACGAACGGAACAAAGAAGGCTGTAGACAATATTGACAAATCAATTGAACAAAGCTTTCAGTGACAAAGTTAACGAAATAAAATTGAAGCAAAAAAAAAAAGCCAACTAATAAAGATAAAATTCCTGTTTTTTATTTTTTTTTTTTCACCAACGACAATTGCTATGCTGAGGAAAAATCTACACAAATTTGATTTCCAGACAAAGTTTCCGTTGTTTCCGCACACAAATACACACCGAATTGTATCCAACAATTTATTCTTTTTCACTTTTATTTTTTTAAACACACACATTTTTTTTTGTTTCTCTGCTAAAAAAAGCAACCAAAATACTTCAAACATTACCTTTTTGTCAATAAAATGAGGAACAACATTGACCTAAAAAGCAAAGAATTTCTTCTTTTAACTTCTCACTCGTGAGAAAGTTAAAGTGACCGCAAAAAGAGGCCCACTGGGCAAAGATCATTATTATTCTTAATATTTTCATTATTAATATTATTACCATTTTTTTTTCTTTTGCAAACAAATTTAATGACAAAAAATTTTTTGAGCGGAAAACTTGTTTGCAAATAAACGTTCAACACTTTTGAACAGTTTATTAAAATATTATTAGTTAATGATTTTCGTCGTCACCGCCTCTAATTTTTAACCTTTTTTTTCTGCAAAACTCCCACCATCACTAAAATCCCTTCCTACTCTTTGCTTCCAAATTTAATATTAAAAACGAAAAAAAAAACATGTCTTTAATGTTAAATGTCACTCAAATATCCCGATTTATCCATCGTTAAAATTATTTCACTTTCAATGAATAATTATTTTGAAAATTTTTCAATTACAGACAAGAATGAAGCCAAAAATAAAGCTGTTTAAATTTTTGACTATTCAAAAATTGAAAGAAAATATCACTACAATTTTCAAGCATCAAATTTTACAACACCGTGACTAATATGATGAACACCATTAAACTTCGATGACAGCAACAACACCCCCGATGTAACCTGTTCATCCGAGAGTGTTCACATATGAAACATGAGCAGTATGAAACCGGTAAAACACGTACCACGAGCACCGTCAACCACAATTAAGCTTCATCGTTTGCTGCTGCTGCTACTACTACTGCTACTACTATTGCTGTTGCTGCTGCTGCTGCTGCTTTACACTATCAACGTCATAATGTCGCTTTTGTTTTCCATTTATATCAATGACCAACAACAGCCAGCAACCAATCTATTTAGCCATTTGTTCATCATAGCCTTTTAAATTTAATGAACTAACAACGTCAGTCTGGAGCACTAAACATCAAGTCATTAATGACATCAACATTCGCTACACTGTTTAATTAAACTCTTAAAAACCTCTTCACTTACTTTTCATTAAATCGATAAACCTTGAACATCACATATATGCATACTTAAAAACACTTATTTCCTCAAGTAAAGTTACAACTGACACTTTAACAACCAAAAATTACCCTAACCGTTCAATAATCAACAAAAATTTTTCTTTCACTTTTTTTCTGGCGAACAAAATAACCTTGTGATAATCAATGTCACTGCACCGACCCATAATATTCTGTGCTCAATTGAGAACTGTATTTAAAAAAAGCCATTTTAAAAAAGAACTTTAACTCTTTTCCGTAAAACTAATGAGGGTTTTAGAAAGATAGGTGACATTTTTACGGGAATAAATAAAGTACGCTCAAATGGAAAGTGCTGTAAACTATTAAAAAAAAGTTAACTGCTCAAAAACTTGTAAAAAAAGGTAACTGCTCAAAAGTTGACTATAAAAAAAAAAGAGAACGACTACCAAACACGGTGACTGGAAATAATGCCTGGTAAAGAATCTACCTTTTGACTCCTTAAATTAAATGCTAAGGAACATGTGAGCAACATTTTTCAAAAAAATCAAGACAAATGAAACTTACCAAAATTTTTTTCCAAAACAACAAAACAATCACATTTTTATACTTACCGAAAGTGACTGCGCAAAACTTCAATTAAATAAGGGAAGTTCCGAAACACCTTTTATGGCGTCCCGATGCACTGCTTTCTAAAAAAAAAAAATAATTGCAAAAACTTCTAAGAACTCCATATGGCTCAAATTTTGACCACTTTTTGTAGTTTTCTTGCAGATTGAAACTCAAAAAGCACAGACGGAAATGAAGTTTTTAACCTCATCGACTGGCAGCAACCTCGACTGCATTGACTATAATCTAAAAGTGAAGGTCTACTACAAGCGACCCAGCGTTCAACACCCAGAAAATGTTTAAGTTCTCTTTTACTTCTCAAATATACGCGGAGAAGAATAACACTAAAATCTA